ATGGGTTGGTGGGGTTGGTAGGGATGGGGAATAGGGTAGGGAAGGTTGACAAAGAATTTTGGAAAATATTTTCTCTTCTCTTGATAGAGAAAACATTTGGGAGGAAAATGAGTTCACGAGGAAAATATTTTCCAAAACATTTAAGCCAACCAAACATGAAAATATTGAAAAATATTTTCATTCGTACCAAACACGCCCTAAATGAAAGAAATTAATTACTTCGCCTCTCCTTAAATTAGCACATGTGAGTTTGTTCCATAACAAGAGAGGATTACTATCAATTATTCAATTATATAAAAGGACAAATAACACAAAGCATCAACAAGTCGTTGTAGTATAGTGGTGAGTATTCCCGCCTGTCACGCGGGTGACCCGGGTTCGATCCCCGGCAACGGCGGTTTTTTTTGTTTTAGCAGTTCCCCTTCACCTTTATATTTTATTTTGTTTGGATTTCAAACTTGGTTTAAATATTATTACTCACACCAGTGTATAAAAACACTGATATGGAAGTCCCCTTTATACTCTTAAAATAACATAATCAAGAATTAAATTCAAACACCGCAATAGGTCTTTAGTGCAGATCCACATCTTTGGCCTTCTTCAGTGTAATAGAAAGCTAGAAATTCAACATGGTCAAAGGGCTTAAAAAGTAAAGGATGCTCTTTATCTGCAAGCTCTTCTGGTGCCTTTATCTTGTACCCTGCTTTTGGTATTGAAAACAAACCAACCGAGTACCTTGCTTCGTTTCCTGTCATCATCACCCTATGATATGGTGAATGAACTCGACCATTTGCCCATGCCTACGTACAAAGATAACTATAGGTAATTGTCCACAAAATTAGAATCAGTAACCTGAAAAATAAGGTAAGTTACCTGCTTTGATTACAATAATAATAACAACAATATACCCAGTATAATCTCACATAGTGGGGTCCGAGGAAGGTAGTATGTAGACAAACTTTACCCCTACTTCGTGGAGATAGAGATTGTTTCAGATAGACCCTCGGTTCAGAAAAGCATAAGCACTACATTAATGAAAAGAAAAACAAAAATGAACAACACCAAGGAGCTATGTAAAAACAACATAAATAACAAGAAGATAGTAAGATGACCAAAATACAAGAAACAACAAGCAGTCATTAGGAGTGGCAAACGGGCGGGGCGGATATGGTTCGATTCGAAAATGGGTAATGAAAAATAGATAAACTATCCAACTCGACCATATTTAATACGGATAAAAAACGCGTTAACTGGTAGATAATATAAGTAACCATATTATCCATGAATTCTTGCATATGATCACTTTTGGGAGAATTCTTAGTCTCCCTAACTTGAGAAACACCCAATTTGAGGCTTTACAAATATAAAAGTTAGATCCATTAGTTATCCATTTTCTAAATGGATAATATGGTTCTTATCTATATTTGACACGTTTTTAAAAAGTTCATTATCCAACCCATTTTTTAGTGGATAATATGAGTGGTTAGTTGTTTTCTTTTAACCATTTGCCCCCTCTAGTAGTCATAGAAACGTAATACCAACAAAATATGAGAGTACTTAATAATACTACCGATATGAACAATTTAGAATACCTAACTTACTATCCTAATCCTCGACCTTCACACCTTCCTATCAAGGTTACCTGCTTTGATTGTATAATTTTTTTTGGTCAGTGCGAGTGCATATAAGTTAAATGAAAGAAATGAACATAGCTAAAAGAGCACGTTAATGTTAGAAGAGCTTACATATAAAGAGTCTCCAATCATGACTATGAAAGCATCTGGTGTAGGTTCAACATTGATCCACTGTCCATCTTTGGTCAAAACTTCAAGACCATTTACCTGATTTTGGTAAAGTATAGTAACAATATTCTTGTCCGTGTGAGCATTTAGTCCTAATTTAGTGTCATTGCTTTGAGGTCCTTTATATTTCATAACCCTAAGAAGGTAGTTGGTTGAATTCATATGCTCATCCATATACTTTTCTACCCCTAAGCTCTCCAAAATCATCTTCCTTACTGTCTGATCCAGTTCTGATAGTTGCTCTGAGTATGACTGAATAGTTTTGCTGCCAACGTACATAAACGTTAGTAAAATATTTATTTAAGAAAAAGAAGATAATATTGGGTAATACTCTAGCATCTACGCACGACCGAGTATGAGTTCAAACTTTAATACAATAATTATTAAAATTTTACTAAAATTTCACGCATTCATTTAATCATTGTCTCAAATATATTGGGTCCAACTGAATCTGTATTCTCTTAATTACACTCTCACTGTGTAATGGTTGATATCTCTTCACTATTAACCAGAGGCGAACCTACTCTTAGGATAGAGAGCCACGACCCCCGACAACTTTGGAAGAAGTATATGTATATATCTTAAATAACATGTATATATTTTGATTTTCACCATAAAATTCAAAGCTTATGCAGTTGTATTGGTTGATTTGTGTGTGTGGTGGTGGTGGTGGAGGT